AAACTTTCCCTCTGTGAACCTTCCAGATCCCCTTCCTCACTGTTCTTTCCCGTTTCACCTGACGATCTAAATTCACATTTTATTTCTGCCTCCTCTACCTCTTCTCTTCCCTCCTCTTCCAACTTTGCTCCTGATTCATCATTTAATGATGATGACTTTTATTTCTCCTACATTTCCCCGACTGACTTACTAACCGCAGTAATGAAATCCCACACCAATTGCATAGGACCAGATGGCATTCCTGTCAAATTGATAAAATTATGTCTCCCCGAAATCCTCCCAGTTCTCCTTTTCATTTACAATTTCTCCCTACAGAACTCAATATTCCCTTCCTCTTGGAAAAAAGCCATTGTACTCCCTTTAAATAAAAAGCCTAATCCATCCTCTCCCGAAGACTTTCGCCCAATCTCAATTCTTTCCAATCTCTCAAAACCCCTAGAAACATTGGTGCAATCCCAAGTTTCCAATTTCCTCGAAAAGTCTAACCAACTTGATTCTCTCCAATCTGGTTTCCGTCCCGGCTACTCCACACAATCCGCCTTAATCAAAATTACCAATGATGTTCAGACTGCAATAGATAATAAACAACTAACTGTCCTTATACTTCTTGACTTCTCTAAAGCCTTTGATTCCATTAACCATCCCATCCTTTTCAACAAACTAAAATCACTCTCCTTCTCCAATAGCTCCATCTCTTGGTTCCAATCTTTTCTATCACAACGCACCCAAGCAGTCTCCATTCCTAATCAACCACTATCTGCCTGCCTGCCTTTATCCTCTGGAGTTGCCCAAGGATCTAGCATATCTCCTCTCCTTTTTAGTTCCTATATCACTCAATTCTCCATTGTTACCACCACCTTTATGCAGACGATTCTCAAATATACCTATCCTTTTCTCCCCCTGAGCTATTGGTAGCATTTACTAAGATCCAAGCATACCTAGATCGAATCTGTGCCTGGGCAAAATTAAACGGATTAAGGTTAAATGCTTCAAAAACTCAGGCCATTGTCATTGGTTCCAAGCCCCTCCTTAGATCCTATACGGACTTTCCCATACTAAAACTTGGTGACCAGCCAATCTCCTTCTACTCCTCTGTAAAAAAATTAGGACTATTTATTGATCAAACCCTCTCCTGGAGTCACCATATTTCTCACATCTCCCGACGGACAGTTTCTACCCTCAAACTATTCCATTGCTTCCGCCATCTCCTACCTCAACATACGCGCAGACTCCTCGTTTCCTTTCTCATCTTCCCCCACTTTGACTACTGATGTGTGGTGTATGATGGACTCTCAGTGGAGTTCCGCGACAGACTGAAAAGAATAATGAACAGTTGCGTGAGATTTGTAATTGGTGCCCCGAGATACTACCATGTCTCTCACCATTACACTGAGTTAGAGTGGCTCTTCCCCTCCATTCGAAGACAATATTTCCTAGGTACATTCCTCTATCATATCATCAACAATCATCGTCCTTCCTACGCCTACAACCTTCTCCAATTCAAGTCCTCAGTCCACTCCCTCTCCACAAGATCTCGACCTTCCGACCTTTACATTCCTTCTCGCAGATCTGCCTCGTCAATTCCATCAGTTCCAAAACTCCTTTATTGCACGTTCTGTTAGTTTCTGGAATTCCCTTCCTATCAAAATTCGACATTCTTCATCCTTATCTACATTCAAAACCCTCCTATTCCAATTCCTGTCCCAAAAACAGTCAGGCACCAGCTAATCTTTTATGTAAAATTACATATTATCTATAAGACCATATTCACATATAGCTCATGACCTGAATACTTATTATAGATTCGACTTTCTTTTTCTCTTTTTTTTTTTTTTCAACAGAAACAGATTTTACCGTGAAGAAGAATATACATTTATTTTTTCTGTATTTTTTATTTTTTCTAAAAGGGTATTTTAACATTGTACATAGTTTTAAGTATCTTAGTATGGTTTCAAGAGTTTTTTATATAGATTTTTTTATTTTGTTTTGTATATAGTATGTATAACCAATATTTTTTCTTTTCTTTTCTTTAATTACCTATCATTATCTTAATTTGTTATGTTTGTTTTTATCTGGCCAGATGTAAAATTTTAATTTCTGTACTTTTTTGTTATTCTGAAGGGACTTCGTCCCTTATAAAATTATTTTCTATTCTATTCTAATTCTCTAAGTTAAATAATTTCCTTTCTACCTTTTTTTATACATCAATCAAAGCAGTGAATATTGTTTTTATTTAATTCACGACATGAGAAATAAACTAAATGTAGATGAATAGAAGAGAAATGTCCGAAACAATAAGGTTCAAATATGACAATTAGATCCCAGTTTCCTAGCATCCATTAACCCGCCCCCCGCCCATCTATCTATTTTATTTATTAATGAATGTTACTGAGTCGGCAACAGGGATTGCGTTACAATCTCCGTGAATTTCGACACCCAACATACTTTTTATTATCCGTAACCGCATTACCGATAGACAATTAGTTATTCACAATTATGTTAGTTTACACAGTTTATACAGCTGATTTTCCAACCCACATCGGTTAATAATGACCCACCTATCACATCCCAAACCCTTCAACTATACATCACAAAACCTTTAAGAATTGTGTAACAAATGGAGGACTGAAATAAATTCCAATAAATCGCATCAAATCAATTTTACCCTTCATCGTAAACTCCTACATACAGAACGCGATATGTTTCGACGGTACAATACCCTTTGTCGGTATCACTGCGAATTATCACGCTCTGTGTAATGCAATAGAGAGTAATACAACTATATCGCTGCCGACAGCAATATCGAAAGAAGATGGTCTTGTGATCTCCTAATGTAGAGATTTTATTAGGATGTTTGCAATGGCTAGTCTTTTCTTGCTTCTCTGCAAGTCTTTTCTTGTTATTATATATCTCTGCTCACATTTACTAGATTGTTTTTTACTTTTATACAGTTGTAAATTTCATGAATTAAAAAAAATTAATATTACTATTTTCATTAAACACCATTGCAAATTGTAATAATGTCCTTTGGATAGGACTTGCTTTTACAAGTCTTAAAGCCAAAAAAGAACAACAATAATGTCCTTTAATTTGTTTTAAATAGAAATTATTTGTTTAATAAATGCTATTATTTGTAGACATACTAAGAAAAACCATAAAATTATAATTAGAGGATTAATCGTAAAATTAAAAAACAAATAATAAATAAAAAAATCAGTAATTATAAGGCTCATTTTAAAAATGTTTTATTGAGATACCCATTATTTGAATACATTTTTATATATAATGAACAATTGTGAACAAAAGAGTTCACAAAAAGTTCAGGCAAATAGAAGAAAAAATAATTAGACTTTAAGATAAATTATTTTGAAAAAATGTCAGGGATTTAAGGTAGCATTCTTTAACGTAAAGTAATATAAGACAGGCATTCTCCTTCAGAATTTGATTACATTGGGATCTATCATTCATCCTCAGTGCATTGATTCTCATTTTGATTTAATCGAAGAATACACCTTTCATCTTGGAAGTTCTCCCCATGTTTTTTATAAATTAAATTACCATTTAATTTGAATTTCCCCTTTAATAATGTCTTTTTTCCCCTTTCAAAGCTAAATTTAACATTATTTTTAAAAAAAAGCAACAACAAAAAACTACGTGTGGTTCTTAAAATATTTAGATTGAAATTTTAGAGAGCTGAGGACTAATTACTCTACTTCCCTGAAAAGAAAACTAGTTGCTGGCTGAAGGTTTAAACTTGTACAGCCACATAGGACAGAGGGCTGCCCTGTATCCTCACCTCACACCACAATCTACACATTTCACTTAAAAGTTTATCTGAATAAAAGAGAGAACTTATTATCCTCACTCATTGTAATCATTTTATTTAAAAATGTAACATATCAACTTTATCTAATGAGCTCTTTAATTGTTAAAACCATTGTATAGCTCCAAGACATTTCAAAATTAATGATATATATAATGTATTTAGATTTGAAATTAATACATTAAATTAGTAAATTAGAATTCAGACAAAATAACTAAAGTTAAAAGAAATGTTTTTGATTGAAACTAACAAAATATATTTAGCTAATTAAAATACAGTGAACCTGATTCCCCGAACATCATGGATTTTCAGTAAAATGACGTGAGCCTCTAATATGTTCGAAGAAAATTATACATGATTATCATTTTTTTTACGATATTTCAAGACTACACTTTTCAATATTATCTGAAAACGTTCACATATTTCGGTACTTACACGATTATTATTCAATGCATGATAAATATTTTTGGCTGTTGGCATCCTTGTGTATTTCACTTCTACCCCCTTGTAAATAGTAATGATTTTTTTTTTTTTTTGTCTTCTTCGTTCGACTTTATAAACTTTGTAGATCTTATAAATTTTGTAGATCTGGTTGTAGCCGCTAGAACCAGCAATCTCCACCACTGCCTATCTTGAGAGATAGCTCTTCAATTAGCATGCAACTCTTGAGCATCTTTGCTGACTCGATCTATCTACCTGGTTTTTGTCACACGTGGTCGCTTGTAATTCACTTTGGTACTCATCGTTGTACAGAGGCACCTTGATCAATTTCTTCGAGCTACAAGTCCCGACCATCTTAGCTCCCTTGCCTTCATCCTAACAGACAAGTTTCCATGAACAGTTCTTTATTGGTCTTTCTACTCCATGCCTCAAGACTCTGATCCCAGATTATCGTACGGAGAACTTTTTCCCTCAATTTTCTAGATTTCGCTTCCGGTGAGAGACCAGGTCTCGCAACCGTGTATCTGAACTGGTTTTATCATTTCCTATACCTATAAGAATTTGTATTTTATATCATTTCCTATACCTATATTATTTGTATAAGAGATACAAATTGGTAAACTACTACGCTGTTAGCAATAAATTAATCACATTTCTTGTAAATATATTATTATATCATCATAAGTAGATACATTTTAGACAAATTCAGTAACTCGTAATATTTTTATTTTTTTAGATGATATGTTTGATTTACGTCGAAGCCGTATTCTACCCGAAAAGCTGTTTAAAGTAATAATTATTGGAGACCCAACAGTAGGCAAGACTTCCTTCATTCAACGCTACGTTCAAAACTCGTTTACCAAAGAGTACAAAGGAACAGTAGGAGTTGATTTCGCTCTAAAAGTCGTACACTGGTATGACTCTCAAGTCGTCAAACTTCAACTTTGGGACATTGCAGGTACGGAATGAGCATTTTTTTAGTTTTAAAAATATAAATATATCTGGCAGATTTTAGAATGTTTAATATTTATAATTATTTAGGTTATATACAATCGACAATTTCGTTACAAATATTTATTTTGCATCTCCTCTAATGAGTAATCAAAGTGTCCAGATTGATTTCTATAAAACATTAAAATAAAGTAGTAACAATTTTTTATGTAACATCATTATCTAACAGTCAAAAAAATTAATTCCATCTCACATCTTCAATCTTCACTCCTATTATAAAAGTCCACCGCTCTAGACATTGCCGTGGTAGCTCCCAGTCCTCTGTGTAATTGGAACAGACAGAGATGTTCCTCTAACGTATTATAAAATTCTCTCTCGAACGTATTAACGTGTTCTCTCGCTCTTCTGAGTAACTCGGAGAATCATAGTGCCATCTCATATTCAACTCGGCGCATTCCGTTGTAGAACGAGTGTTCTTAAATTCTCTTCCACCATCCGTTGTAATATTATACGGCACTCCATAACCCGATATCCATCTGAACTTCCCGTCCCAGACAGCGTCAGTCGTTTTGTTAGATAAACAATACGCCATTGCCAGTTTGTTAAACTTATCGAGTACCGAAAGCAAAAGTGACCACTCCCAAGTAAGTATGTCAACCTATATATCTAGTAGTGGTGAATTTGGGGTATAAGACATTTCTGGATGGACAGTAATTGGATGTCTATCGTATTTTGCGGGATGACATATAATGGTACACGCTTGAAAAACCTCTCGAACCGATCGTCGCATGTGGTGCCAGTAATACTTGCGAAGCAGCACCGCGAAAGTTTCAGAAATCCCATGATGATTAGTTTTTCCTTCATGGTAGGTTTTAACCAATTCTTTTTGACACTCGGGTTCTTTAATCGTGTCTTGGAGCATAAAATTAGGTTTCTATAAGCTCCTATGTGTTCTGTTCAACTTAAATGCTTAATACAGTCTCAGACGGTGTTATTTACGACGTACATATTATATGTTTTTCCTAGATTCGTGCAGACGTTCCTCGTTGAGTATGCTGACAGTGTCTGCCGGTGAAACAGAAGGAACGGTCTAACGGTAACGATATTGTGCCGGCCGTATTTCAAATGTTTCGTTCGCGACTTTCCTTCGTACCCGTTTTACAAATAATTTGATGCGTATGTTGGTTGACTATCATATCCGTCTCGTCGATACGTTTATGGCAAGTTCTTGTGGGGATTTAAGCATCCATTGTTTCCTCCTCATCGGGAGACATGCCATCTCCGGTGGTAGCTGCGTAGGGTTCTGCTTCGTGGAGTGGAATTACATAAAAGGTTCGAGACAACATACTTGGTATATAATTTGAAAGTTGTATGTATGCAGCTTTTATTTCTAGCGCTCGACTAGTACTGACAATTCCTTCAATCCATCCGTCCATAGAAGCGGCTTATGATCCGTACGGAGATTAAACCGTCTCCCGATATGTACGACCGAAAATGATCCACCGCCCGTTTTGGCAATTGTTTGATAGCCAACAGTTCGATTTCAAGTGTCGGATTTAATGATTCAGCGTTGAATAGATGAGTATTGCAAAAGCTACCCTTCTGTCCCCACCGTCCGATTCTCGAGATAATACAGCTCCGAGCGCTCATTCACTAGCGTACATTGTTAAAATAAATTCGTTGCAAAAATCCAGAAATGCCAAAACCTGTAAGAGCCTCATTGCACTTCTGAAAGCTAATCATATATTCATCAGTAAAGAGGAAGTACTGACCCTTCTTTAAAGCTGGGTAAGTATTGAAATGGGTCCAAGTGTGTACAAACTTTCATTGACATATTTAGATATGAGAATCGATGATGACGGCCATATCCAGCGGGTGTGCGATAAGGTGTATTGAGTGACAACAACTCTGTCTTGACTGATTCCTAATGCCTCCTGTATATTACAGGCACAGCGGAATGTTGCTGATATTTGGCCTAGTTACAACCATTCTGCTCTACATGGTCGCTATATTGAAAGTGGCTCTTGATACTGCAGCTTATTGAGAACCAATAGTATCCATCTATCACCAGTGCGGCTTGCGGATGATCACTTTTATAAGAAGCGGCAGTGTGGTGGCAAATATGCTACTAAGCTACTACTAGAGCTGATAGAGCTGAGGATGTACTCGTATAATAAAATCTACCGCAATTCCAGAGGGTCCAAAGAAAATTGGACTGAAGCTGCTCTCGCAGGACTGTTGTGTCCCAAAGCAGAATAAATAGAGGCAGGGAGGCACAGTCGGAGCTACGTTTGGGGGAGGAGGGCTTTCGGGCTAAAGAACCCCCCAAAATGGTAAAATGTAAAAATGTTTTATGGAAAAAAATATTAAAACATTATCTCTCAAAGTATTAATGTCCGTGTAGTTACATTTAATAGGACTTGAAGAATCACTTAAACAACATTTCATATAGGCAGTTAGTATCTTTCTTTTTTTTTTCAAAGTTATTGTCGTTATATTTATGAAAAAAAAAAGATTTCGGGCTGAATCCCTCCTAAATTAAATTCTGGATCCGCTAGTGCAGGAAGGTGTTTTTAGTGTGTACAAATCCCACACACAGATAGGTACTGTCCGCGTCTTTTTGATGATTTTGCAACTATATTCGAAAAACCAAAATAAATAAAATTAAAAATAATCTACCAAAAATATACTTTTATATCTATATATTGTAATAAATTGTAGTTTCTGTAATGGTTTTAGGACAAGAAAGGTTTACATGGATGACAAGAGTGTATTACAAAGATACACACGGATGCGTCATCATGTTCGACTTGACAAATAAAAATTCTTTTGAAAACACACTGAAATGGAAAAAAGATCTTGATGGTAAATGTACCCTCAGTGACGGTAGCCCTGTGCCGTGTATGCTATTGGCAAATAAGGTAAGATACATCGTTATGTAATTTTTATTTATGGATGCGCAAGAGAAAGAATTATTTCGGTTATAATGTAATGCTGGTCTGGCCTCACATTATAAACATGATAATCAATAGCATTAGGCAAGTACAAATATAAGAGGTTGACCAGTAAGCGGGGGGCAAGGGGAAATATTGAAAAGGATGAGAACAGACCTCACGAGCTACAAAAAGTTTTCATTTCAACGTAAATATTAAGTGTGGAAACATTTAGTTGATTACTTATTATTACCAATCAATTTTTATAATAAAGATCTTTATAAAAATAAAGCGATATTTATTATCACTTTAGATAAAATAAATATTCAATGTAATATATGATAATAATTAAAAAAATCATTATTTTATATATTTTTTATTAATAAAAAGGGTATTTATAATTTATGTGTATTACAAAACATGCCTGGTACTGGTAAAAATAAATAGAACCTTTTCAATAATTTATTCTAGTAATTTTTGTAATCAACACGAGTACTTTTAGGTGACAGAATAACAAATCACCTCATGTTTGTACACAACTTCAGGTGAATCTCAACTTATATCGTTATTTCATAACTTAGTATGAACTTGAGCCTATTAAACAAGGACATTTTTCTGAAAGAGGCTATTTGTAATACAGTGGATGATAAAAACTGGAGGATGATAAAAAAAAAAAATCTCACGTAATTCATGATTTTTTTTTTTTAAAGTGGGTAAAAGCAGTTATTAAACAATGATTAACAAGAAGCTTTAATTCCTTTTTGATTAAGTTGATGTTTGTTACAGAATAAGTTGAAGTTTACCTCTAGTTATGTAAAAATAATTAATAATAATAATAACAGGCATCACCAATAATCACTTACTACACACCTCCCTCCACCTTTCGCTGTCCAAACCCAGTCCCTTCATATCAGCTTTAACGCAATTTTCCCACATTTTATCTACCCCTCAGACGTTTACCATTCGGTGAAGGAAATATTAACCTTTTAGGAATTCTTTCGCTACTAAGCCCACCAATTTTACAAGCCCGTTTGATTCGCCACGATGTAATTACCTCAATTATATTAACCAGATACAGTTCACGCAATTCGGCGTTGAGTAACCGTCTGAACTCTCCGGTTAGTTCATCTTTCTGGTCCGAATATTCTACGCAATACTTTATTTTCAAAAACCCTTAGACGTTGTTCATCCCTTAATGTAGGCAGCCACGTTTCTTAATTTAAAGTAAAAATAATTATGTGATTAAATATCATATCACCTAAAAGGATCTGTGTTTTTTAGCAAAAAATAACTATGGTCAATTAGTGTAAAGTTTTTTTTTTTTTCCTCTTTGACCTGGTTTTGTATTGTTTCATATTAGCCCAGTAAAATTAGTCTTGTTACATTACAAAAGGTGAGGTAATTCAAATTTATTTTTTATATTGTTAGGAATATAGTTAATATAAAACAATATCCGCCATCGAAACCCTTGTGGGTTTGCTGCGGTGTTAAAAATAAACATTGAAATTGCGAAATTTCTTTGTTTTACACTAAATATGAGAGTAGTTGTTTTTATTAGTTTATTTCTTTTTGTTTGGTTTAGTTCATATAAATTTACTTTTAGTATTATTATTTTTTCTGTATTATATATTTGTATTTATTGTTGATAGAGCATGAATGTGCTCTCTTAACACTGTTATAAATGTCCTTATTTTTGACGGATTGTAATACCTCTCAATGAATATAGTTACTTACGCTAAATATTTCCTTTTTAGAGCGACATGAATAGAACATGGTTATATTCAATGTTAAACAATTCAATTTCATAAAATTGGGTTAGGAGGAGGGAGAGGGGTTGTTTTGAATTTTTTTATGGCGAGGCTTATGTAAGTCAAGTTTTCGCAATAGTTGTAATAAAAACATTGTTATCCGTGCTTAACCATCCATCCGTTTCAGTTATTTGCTATCCAGTTATTTTATTATCCACCAGTTATTTATTAATCAACTTAATTTAAGGTTTAAAAACTAAGTAAAATATTAATTGAAAATTATTCGGCTATTTGTTTAGGTACCACACAACTCAACCGACAACCACCGATACATTAAATTTTGTTAAGTGTTTAATTTTCATTTATGATGAAAAGATGAGATTGTAGAGTCGATTAATTAATCAAAAAGAGTAGTAGTCTCTTCACTTCTTTAAACTCTGCTGAGTTTATCGCTAGTCACCTACATCCGTGTAAAATTAGAACTTGATCTGAATATTGTGGCGGGTGTTTTTTTTCCGTTTTCCTGTTAATTAGTTTGATTAATCCTAAAAATGTATTCGACTACATTTGTGAGGCTCGGGAAGATGAATCGAATGACACCTTGAATAGGAAGACCGGAGAAAGTTGAAAAATGTGTTTTACCAGTTTTATGCGACAAAGCGTTACTGATGTTCGGTATTACGGATTGTCCCTGTCGAGTTGTGAAAGTACGTCGGAAAACCTCACAGTACCTATCTAGAAGGGTTTACGCGCATAAATATAGATTTGAAAGCAAAAAAGAAGATACGGCATTAACTATTCATGCTATTAAGAATAAACATAAAATTGAGTTCGATAAATTCAAGATACTAAACATGGAATAAAATCAGCAAAAACGGTTCTAAAGATGATGCACATTGGAAGGACCAAAAACGTAATAAATACCCGGAGTGATTTGGCCAAATTGAATTGTGCGTATAGCAACATTTTAAAATTTGTATAATTTAGATGAGGGATTTCGTTTGATTTTTTGGGCTAGTTTGTTTGCTTTGTTATCTGTTGATGTGTTAATTTGGTGAAGGTGAGAATACAATTAGAGAATGGGAACTATAGTTGAATTTTTAATATTGTTTTATGATTTTATAATGTTGACTAGTGCATATATATTTTAAGTAGTTGATATTTACTTATGCTTTGAGCAATTTTAAAGTAGTTGATATTTATTTATATTTTTAGCAATTTTAGAGTTAGTTCGATGATATATATGTATTTATTGTTAATTAATTTTGATACGTTAATTTATAACCAAGAGTTATTATACAAGCTGTTTTGGTTGTTGATAGAGATATGTTCTTAATGCTGTTATATTTATCATGGATGCATTTTTCAATTGCTTTATATAACATAGATGCAATTTTTATTGTTTTGTATGTAATATTTTGCCTTTGGGCTCAGTACCGGGGTGGAAAGACGCTGAGCTGTCAAAAAAAAAAAAAAATATATATATATTATATTATATTATATTATATATATATATATATATATATATATATATATATATATATATATATATATATATATTCGCGCTTTGATCACACATGCCACCAGTGTCCACAACAATTTAATTATTAAAAAATGTTTTAAAACAAAATGGACAGTAAATGACTTACTGTTTGAATGAGAAGAAGACTATTGAGGAATGTACACCTAATTTATGTTAACAGTGCGATTTGCAAGACAGAAAAGTCCACCAAGCAGACATTGAATCATTTCACAAGGAGAATAACTTCATTGGCTGGACTGAGACATCTGCTAAAGAAGGTTTGATGGTCAACGATTCAATGAAGTATGTAAATAATTTTTCATTTCTTTTTTCATTTAAAAGTTTTTCCTACCTCATTATTATTTTATTACTTAGCAATCTGAACTGTCCAAAAGATGTGTTATTAGGTGTTTAAAACTGTGTTATCAACAGTTGTGTTGCTCAAAGTAAACAGCTCAAAACATTTAGCTTAACAATAAGAGTTTAATATTAGGAAATCAATCCAGGATCAAATGAGGCTTTAATAAAAAAACTTTTATCCCATCCACTCCACAAATACACAAAACAACTTTATTCTTCTACACAAACATCAAAACAACAATGAACAAAGGACTAATAGTAGGTTCATAACCCAAGCCAATTTGCTTTGTTTACAGCTGAGCAGTGTTGCCAAATAAGATGCATTAACTCAACAAATACTTATTTTCAACTTGTTCTGCTTAACTATTTTCAACCCAAAATTGAATTTATTAATTTATTTGTAGAATCAATATTAAAACAATAGATTCATGATACGACATTAGAGACAAATCATCAATCATCGTCTCATCCAGATTCTCAAGCTTTCACCAGAACCTTATTCATCATTTAAATCCTCTTGCTCCGACCATCCATACAATTCTCTTCGTGGGTTAAAATGCCTGTGGCTCCAAGACCCCTTGTAAAAATGCTATGAGAATTATGAAAATGGCAAGCTTCTCTCCTCAAGTCCTGAGCGTCTATAGTGGTCCAAGTAATGTCGGTTTTTAAAAATCTGGGTTTTTAAGTTGATATTACCGATCCCTCCTTGACCATTGAATTAAAGTTTGCTTATTTTGTTGATTATACAGCGTGTCCCGTAAGTAGAAGGAAATATTTAAAGGGTTGATAGTAGAAATCAAGATCTACAAAAATGTTGATATAAACAATTGCCCAATTTCCAGCAGAAAAGTAGGAAATTTAAGATCTGTGTTTTTTTTAAGCGTGTCAAGTTCTCATTGTTAATACTATTTAAAGAGGACTATTGAGCGAACAAATACTGCTAAGTTCCGTTTAAAACAAAGTCATAAATTATTTATGGTTTTTTTTGTATCGCACTTCATCTGTACTAAATTTAACCTACTTTAAGAAAAACTTCCTTGTTTAGTAATATTTAAGTTCAAATTAATTAAGTTGAGGTTTATAAGGAAAAAATTGAGATTCACCTCAAGTTGTGTAAAGAAATGATTTGATTGTTCAACAATTAACTTTTGCAAAACTTTTATTTCTTTATTGTGATATGGGATGTATTTCAATAAACATAATTACCTAAAAAAACATTTCATTTATAGAAATAAAAAAAATAATAAATAATGATTTTTCAAATATTATTCACGTAAAGTGTGACTTACAGATCAGTATAATCAGGAATTTTTTTTCTCGAAAAAAGTCGATTTTTAACCACTGTGTGACGCAGGAATTACGACAGGTGTACAGCTTAAATCCTCTACCTTTCGTATGCGTGCTGGATCAGGAGAAGAGAAGAGCTAAAACAAGATTGTGGCACTTTTAACTAGGGCACACCTCGCTTTTGCCGATGACCTCATATTCGCTTCGGATGACCGGGTCCTACAATACAACGTAAATATCATGCAAGAAGTGTTGTCCAGCATTAACGTGTACATCAATCAAGACAAAATGCATGAGAATAAGGAAGACATCCCCATTCTCATAATACAATCCGGAACGGTTTCCTTAACAAAAAAAAAAGGTGACAAAGAAAACAAAACTGTCAGTCAACAAACCAACGTTCCATCCGATCCTATCTTATTCCTCCGAATCACGGACCCTTATCTCAAAACACTAGGGGCAGATCCAGACAATAGAGATGAGATGCCTGAGAAAAGTTTAAGAAAAGACCAGCAGAGATAGGATCCGTTACACAACAATATGATCAAATCTCGAGGTACAGCCTGTAGAAACCACTCTAGAAGAGAATAAACTAAGATGCTTTGGGTATCTCCTAAGGATGAGTATAGAAAGAACGGCCAGGATAACATATGAGACAGGATTGGACGAAAGAAGACGTAGAAGAAGACCATGGATCTCCTGGGAAAGGCGTACGGGTAGCGTTCATGAAGCTAAGGCTGGACTGGAACAGAAGGAGGGAACTGGTACAGGAGAGGGACACTTTGTCCAAGCTCTATAGAGTATATCATATATCATAATGAACACTATCAATACTCCAGTGAATGAATACTTATTTATTCATTTATATATTTACTGGGGAACTGACCATAACCAAATCCAATGCTGAAACACCAGATATCATAATTATATAACATACATTCCATTATCCTAACCATTTTACAGACTAAAGGAACCTTTAAAAAATATTATATAAAGAATAATTCATAAAAATATCTATAATAGTTCCTAAAAATCAGGTTAAAATGTGTTAAATCTTAACACCTTCCTCTAATGTTGGGCTCTTTTCTAAAAATGACCGTAATCATGACGAAACTTTGGACTCTAAAATCTAAGGCTATCCTCTAGTGGATTCAGATATAATCAATAATTACCCAAAATGTGGCCAGATGGCATCAGAAAATTTATTTCAAGCGGTTTTTTTAACAGTGTTCATCAACTGCGGTGTGTTCAACTGGTTGAGGTGTCATTACTCTAGCTCCTGAGGACGGGATGGCCGAGCACGTTGGGGTGTGGGTGATCTGAGCTCACGACGTCCAGAACCAGGTATTCTGGGGTCAAGTTCTGAACGTTGAGGGTTCGGTTCCCTCCTGGGTCGGTTACTTTTCATTTCTCGACGGCTCCGGGAAATGGATCGTGTCATTCTTACTCTGGTAAGTACGCGGCGGCAACCTCAAGGTAGCAGTCAGAGGTTGGCGAAAAGGCTACCCCGATAGGCCCACTTGCCGGACTAGTTCTCCCAGTATCAGTACCTTAGCTCCTGGTCAGTCTTTCCGTATCCATTTAAAAACGTTGTCATTACATTTCAAATTCATTTCTTCTTTTACTGCTGAGCGGTGTGAGGAGCCTTCTTGTAGAGCCGAATCCACAATTCTCGATAATTAGCCAACTGCTGCTTCCTCCAGTCAATATCTCTTCTGCCAAAGGCCTCCTTAACACCGAACTCCCAAGCCTTCCTGAGCGTTCTCTGAAGTCTTCTTCATTCAACTTTATTTTTCATTCAAGAGACATAACCAAACCATCTCAAACAATTTTGTACTATCAAAGTCTGGGTTGATTTTACGTTTAGATTTTTCCTTATTATGGAGTTTGTTATGTGGTCTATCTTTGTTTTTCCTTCGACCCTGCGCAGGAATCGCATCTCCCTGAACTGAATCTGACTGATGTATTTTGTGGGAGGGTCCATGACTCGCTAGAGTAGGTCATAAGGAGGAAAGTATTTTTGTATACAGTCGTTTTGGTCTCCCTGCTCACTTCTCGCTTTTTAAAGAACCCTTTCTTGATGGCGTTAAAGCACCTTCCAGCAGACTTCATTCTTTCTTTTATTTCTTCGTCGATCCATCCATGTTCATAAATTGTCTTCCAGCTTTCTTCCGAAATCTTCCCACGTTTTCCTTTGGTTTCTATGACCTTGATTTTCACTGTTCGCCTTTGAGTTACGTATTTTTGGTTGTCATTATGGGATTTTTTTTTTTTTTTTTTTTAGATATTGCTATTTATTAAAATATTATCAACCGAAAGATGTATTGGAAATACATCTTCTTCCGAATGACTTTGACCTCTTCATTCCGCTATGTCGTTCTCTTTATTCTTTGTCCTGTATTTATTTTACCACATTCTATTTCTTCATAGTCCATCAGAAGTTTCTTGAAAGCGAGGTTGTCCGAGTCCCTGGGGTATAGTCCACTAAGAACCTTTTCTTCTATTATGTTCTGATAGGCAATTGCTATTTCTTCGTATTTAAATTTGTTTAAATTGCTTTCGTACCCCTAATGCTCTCCGTACTTCTGTACCTCTGTCCTCCTAACTTGATCCTCCAAGTCCCATTCCTGTACTCGACTTTAATCCCTACTTGTCCGAATAGGTCGCACCCTATTATCGCCTGGTATTCCCGAGTTATGTTTCCAACAATGTGCACTTTCAAACTCCCCTTCTTACCTGCCCAATGGTTTAACTCAACGACCGCTTCTCCTTCCACATTACACGCCCCTCCTAGGGTAATTAATTTACACTCGCATCCCTGAATCCGGGGTGCGCTCTTCCTACCACACAGCCTCTCTAGTGCCCCACGGGTCATAATAGTGCTAGTACTTCCCGTGTCTACCAAGCACCTCACTCCCCCTCTTATCGTGATGATTGGCAACCAGCAAGACTTACCTCTTATGTTATTGCATGTCGCTGTGCGGTCGCCGCTCTGAAGACACACTCCTCAGATCCTCGCCTGCTTGCTCCTCCTTGTTGCCGCTCGTCTTTGTCCGCTCCACTGCGTGCTCCTTCCTCCTTCGTCTCCGCTGCTCCCTGGTTCTTCTTCTTCCGTCTCCAAGGCCTCTGATATCTCCGTTACCTCTTCCGAAGGCCCACTTCGTCGAGTCATATTAGGGTTCCTCCTCACCTTATGCATATTGACCTCCATCGGCTCATCTTGTGCCGTCTCCCTCCTTCTAAACATGTACGGACATTGCCTTGCAATGTGTCCTTCTGTCCCGCATTCGAAACATTTAGTGCGGGGGCATTGTGCCACTAGATGTCCCGTCCTGCCGCAGCCATGACACTTCCTTTCTTCCTTGCGTGGTCCATTTCGTGGCCTGGGTGGTCCTGGTTTTCTTTCCCCTGTTGTGGTCCTTCCTCTGTTTCCGTATCCAGACTCCCTTTTCTTCCACCCTACCGGTGCGGACCTGAAGCGTCTCTCGCTCACTCGGTTCCATCCAGCTTCCTCTATCTCCATTCTACTTTCTTCCTCCCTCGCGCTAAAGTCGACCATCTCCTAGGCACACTCTAGGAACGACCGCTCTCTTGGTAAGCCGTCTCTCTTTCCCGTCTCCTTGGCCAGTTGAACCTTGAGGATAGTTGACAAAAACTCCATACTGGCTTCTACTTCTCCTGCACTCATCATTTCACGCATCTTCTCCTTGATGTGGTTAAACTTCGCCAATAGTACTCCCGCATACTGCCCGTTCGTCTGTCGTTGCGACCGTCGTTCCCTGAACATCTGGAAGATGTCCTCCTCTGGAGTCCATCGGCCTCCCCCAAAAGCCTTCTTCAACCTCTGTTTGATCACCGGCCATGATGTGTCTTCGTCTGACTGTATCTGGTTAAGAACACTTCTCCGTACTCTACATACCAAGGCTGCTTTCAATGCTTCGGCATCCCCCAGGTTCACCAAATCTTCCGCCACCTTTGCCTCGATTCTAGAAATGAGACGGTCCCCACCTTTCAGAAAATGGTTCAGTTCGCCTATCTCTCCACCGAAGCGTTCCAAGTCCGCTATAGCCCTCCTTAGATCCTGAGTGGTCGCTGCTTTTACTTTCATCCACTCCAAGGCATTGGCTTCCGCCAATGTGTCCCTCGGTATCGGAGGGATTTCCGGAATCTGCGGAATTTCCGGAGCCTGAAGAACTTCAGGTGCAATCGATATTCCCGGGTTAGGGATTCCGTCTGTCGCCATTCTGCTTCTATTTTCCTGCTTGAGCAAGTAAGAGAGAAAAAGAAAAAATAGTTTCCTACTTACTGGGCAATAACAATATTCCCGGGTTTCGGCACCACTTATGCGACTTTGAAATCAAACGATAAAAAAAAGGAGAAAAGGGGCTGTTAAATAACTCACACGGCTTCAGAAACAATACTGCTTTATTTGTGAAGTAATCCTTCTTATATACACTTTAGAGCTTTGTTTACATACCAGGAAGGTATTAAGGCTGATACTGCCCGACTCCTGTCCTTATCTTATATACATAGATATATATACATACACACACGCACACACACACATAAATACATACACACACACATCATATAAATACAATTTGTTGATTGGGGTGTTGAGTTTATTGTTACTTGTTTGGTGATAGATAAGAAACCGTTAAATTTTCACAAATAAACTGATTGATTTAGACGTTTAGTAGTATGTGTTTAGCCCGTCTGTGTGTATACCGTTTCAAAGATGTTTTGTCATAGTTTCCTATTGTTCGGATCATAGGGTTTTCAGACGTTGGTGTTAGCTCAAAAAATCTCTGTGTAGGAATGGGGTTCCATATACTCTTCTAACTCCGTTGATTTTATGGTAGAAAACTTAACCAATCAACTGCACATTATCCTAGACTGTCACGCTCCTCTTAAAGTCAGGACAACCAATTACCCGCCAGCCCCTTGGTTGACGCCTGCGATAAAAAATTGTATCAAACGAAGAGACGCAGCAAGACGAAGGTTTAAGCGCACTCGACTTCCCGGACACTACATGAATTTCAAGCTGCTTTGAAACAGTAAGCAATCCATGATAGGTCGTGCCTAATCCCACTACTGCCAACAACTCTTATCCAGCACACCAAACTCCAAAGCTATTGCCAAATTGCCCAAACTAAGTGGGCAATCCTCCGTAAATTATCCTTAGGCAAATCCACCCAAACCCAGACTACCTCTATTTCAGCTGACATACTCAACACTCATTTTGTCTCCTGTTCATCCGATCCCTCTGTCCAACCACCAGCTCCACCCCTCATACATCCTCCCTTTTATCCCAATCATTTTTTTCGCATATTACCCCTGACGACCTCCTTAAATCCATCTGTAAATCCCAAACCAAAGATTTCGGACCAGATAATATCCCAGTTAAATTAATTACATCCTCACTTCCATCCATTTTCCCAATCCTTAATCATATCTATAATTTCTCACTACAAAGTTCCACTTTTCCCAGCACCTGGAAAACTGCTCTTGTTCGTCCTCTGAACAAAATCTCTAACCCCACAATCCCTAATGATTTCCGTCCAATTTCCCTGTTATCTAACCTTTCCAAACCTTTAGAACGAATAGTACAATCTTAACTATCCCAATATCTCGAACAAAATAAACATTTGAACTGGTTCCAGTCTGGTTTTAGACCAGACTACTCCACTCATTCCGCCCTCATTAAAATCTCTCAAGATCTCCACACAGCCATAGGTCAACAGAAACTCACTATCCTGATCCTTCTTGATTTCTCTAAAGCATTCGACTCAGTTGACCATAATATCCTCCTAACCAAACATAAAAACATATCCTTATCAACTAGTGCCCTTAAGTGGTTCCAATCCTTTCTCATCGATCGCTCCCAGTACGTTGTAGTTCCTAATAACCACCAATCAGTGTCTCTACCTCTGTCCAGAGGCGTCCCACAAGGTTCCTCATTATCCCTCATCCTCTTTTCCATCTACATCAATGACCTCCCTTCCTCTATCATACACTGTCAATATCACCTATACGCCAATAACGTCCAAATTTATCTTTCTTTCAACCCGACAGATTCCTCTAATGCCATCATGAAACTGCAACAAGACATCAATAAAATATGCGCATGGGCAAACCTTAATAAGCTGGCATTAAATATGGAGAAGACAAAAGCCATCCTGATCGGATCCCCCTCACTTCTCAAATCCATTTCAGCACCTCCTAATCTTCTTCTGAACAACTCGCCTATCTCCTTCCATACCACCGTTAAAAACCTAGGCGTTACCCTCGATCAAAGCCTCTCTTGGAAACCACACATCTCCCAAATTTCCCGCCGTACTATATCCACCCTGAAACAGTTTAACCATCTACGTTATTTTCTTCCATTCAAAACCCGTCAACTCCTGGTCTCCTCTCTTGTTTTCCCCCACTTCGACTATGGCTACATGGTGTATGGTGGACTCACGGAAGAACTCGAAGCTAAACTTAAACGTTTAATGAATTGCTCAATCCGCTTTATCTTCGAGATCTCAAGGGATACGCATATTACCCAGTTCTACACCAAGTTGAAGTGGCTTTATCCGTCCTACCGCCGCCAATATTTCCTTGCTACCTTCCTACACCAAGCCATTACAACATGGCGACATGCCTATATTCTACAGATCCTACAATTCAAACACTCCTTTCAATCCCGTCCCACCAGATCCTGTGCCTTCGACCTCTATCCTCCTCCTCACCGAACTGCTGCGTTTGATAAATCCTTTTTAATACAAGTTGTCTCTCTCTGGAACATTCAGATATTCGACACGCAATATCAATATCCTCTTTCAAATCTCTCCTCTTCAAACACCTACTCCATTCCCAATCCGATTGATCACGAAATACACTTAAAAACCTCAAAGTACACCCAGATACTTTGATTATTTTGTGATTCATCGATATTTCGTTTACTTAATTACTTTCTCTGTATATTTTATATTTACACGTATTTATATCTTTTTATTATTTATAACTTTATTGTATTCCTAATCAACCTGTAAATACAAAATAGTATTTTATGGACACACCACAATATTAATATATATTCTGAATTTGTAACTTGTTCTAAAGGGACACTAGTCCCAGAATAATAAAATGATTTTCATTCATTCATTCATCATTCCGTTTGCGAAGTATAGGTTCAAGATTCGTTCTCCTAAACCGTTGAGATGTTTTCACCACATTTATTCCGAATGTTCCTTGTCATACTTTGTCGTCATTACTAACCCTGCAATTTAAGTCTCCCATAAGAATAAGGCTTTCGTCGTTATCGTATATTTCTCTTTGCAATCTTTCGAAGAACATATCTTTTTCTGCGGTGTGTGCATTGTTATTTGGTCCGTAGGCAATGAACCTTTTATAAAGCTTGACATCCCTTAAGCATTTGATGGGTAATAATCTGTCGTTTATAGCTTTCCATTCTGTTATGAATCTGGATATGTCTTTGTGGAATAGGCAAGATACCCCGCTCTTTGCATGCTCTATGAGGCTTACTCCTGAGTACACTAATACAAAATCTCCGATTTGTTCCTCCTCATTTCCTTTCTTTTTGGTTCATGTTATTCCCAGTATGGTGATTCCAGCCTGCTTTACTTCCTCCACCAGCTCTACTTCCTTTCCGTCAATGCCTTTAACATTCCATGTTCCGAAACGTATAATCATCAATGTCTTAATGGGAAGATGTTATACCATCGCTACTGACCTGATAAGGTGTTTCATACCTAAGAATACATCCATTTACGCTGTAACGGGACCCTCCTCCTTTACCAGGGCTTGGGGCCTGAATCTATATCAAGCTGGTGGAATTACATTTATTTTCAGTATAAATATTAGGCAAGGAGCACAACAATCCCCTCTTTTTTACTTTCCAATATCACTTCTATTTATCACCTTTGTTTAATTTATTTATCAATTTTACAGATTTCTCATTGAAGTCATGATGCAACATGAAGGGGTTAATTCAACAATTAATCACAAAAAGAGTTCTCTTCAACTTGTAAACCAAGAAGAGAAAAAAAGAAGAAATTGCATTTGCTAAATCTTTCAGAGATTTCTGAATACCGAGACTGATTCAGTACCAGTTTTTATTTTGGTTCCATTACCTTAAATCTAAGACCACTGATTAATGTTTTGCTATTCAATACTTCTCAGCATTTAATCATTATGAGTGAGAATTAAAATGGGGCACAATATTATTAAAATAGGGCACAAAACCATACCTATTTCAATGTTACTGTAACTCTCAATACAGAAGTCCTTTAAATTGGATTACCATAGATATTTTTACTTTCAATTGGGGGGAGCCAATGTTGGTATTTTGAAAATAGGCCTTACAATGAAGTTCATTCAAAAGATAAAAGTTTTTGGCCTCATGTTTACAGAATTTACTAAACCATATAGTATATCTTTTAATAAAGATAGCCCATTTACATTTATAAATGCTAACCTCATTTACAGATTAAATTATTTATTAAACATCCTTTACCATCCACAAGAACATTTTTCAGAAACTAAAATATTGTTTTGGCTTTCATATACAATGAGGCAATGGTTTTGTGTAAAAATTTATAAAATGATAAAAACAGCTCTGATTGTTATATTTGGTTACTAGTCTTAAATCTGAAGTGATGCCAGATGTAACAAACCATACTCCTGAAGTGTTTGGGAGGTATATGAATTTGTAATTTTAAGGCACTTGTTAACTGATTTAATTGAATATATAATTAATTTTTATAAGATTCAATGTTTACAAAAATATGAAAATGTTTACTGCCTTAATATATTTAAAGTTAGTTCTTTGTTGTTAAAATATTTGTTGTATGATTGTCTATTGATTAAAAGTTTAAAAATGAAATATCCTACAATAATTTCCCAATGTCACCACTGAAAAATGATATAAAAGAAATAATTACATAATAATAATTTTCAAAGAATAAATGTGAATATATGTAGCAGAGTTTGCATAAAAATTGAAATTATTATAGCAAAAAGATTATTTAATTTCATTTTAGTACTTAAACATATAATATTATTCTATATATATATATATATATTTTTATTTTTGTTAAGTAATTGCAAGAATATATTAAAACACTTGTATTTCAATACAGACTCTTGACAATTCTAAGTTGTTTTTTATTTCTTTTTTATGTATGCAAAAACATTAAATTTAATCACGTTATCATATTTTGAAATGACAATAATTTTTTGTTTCGATGTTATATTGTTTAACTTTACTTTTAATATAGAAATGGGAATTTTATATTGTTGTTATAAACAGGGTTCCCCAGAGTTGTAAGTATAGGGAAGTATTTAAAGGGGTGATTGCAGACCTCACGATATACATTATTGCCGGCCTCATAGATTCGGCGTCCCTAGGCAATTAAATTTATTTCTTAACTTTCTTTATATTATGTAATATTCGAATTTCATTTCATTAAACATTGATTTAATACAGTTGGTTCATTAATAGGCCAAAATTAATTATTTTAATATGTTTTGTATTTTGTTTTTAATTTATAACATTTAGCGAGCGCCCCCAATGGGCGCTCCTCCAGGTCAGCACCCCGGGGCGACAGATCTACATAAAAGTTTGTATAAACAATGTGCCGATTTTCAGCATGAAAGTGGGAAATCCAAGTTTATTCACAATATTTCTCACTTCTTCTTCGGTGCATACTATTTATTTTCAAGTTTATTGTTTTTTAAAGTAAGTCATGTTTATTTATAAACCTTTATAATGTAATATACCTTTATCAACGCACAACAAACAATAGCAATATTTTTAGATATGTAGAAAGCTTTTGAAAATATAAATCACTCCATAATCCTCAATAAACAGTCATCCGTTGGAATAAGAGGGCAAATGTTCAGGAATATTAAATAATTTCTCTTACATGGCCCCTTTAGGGTTCGGATAGGATGCAAATTATCCGAAGACCACGAACAGTTCAACAGTGTCTCCCAAGGTTGTATCTAAGCCCAACCCTGTTTTGTCTTGCGATAAATGACCTGGGGCTTAACTTGGCAAGAGGTGTGAAGCCGCTATTGTTCTCCGATGGCCTAGGCATTTTCTTTCTATCTGACAGCGTTGCCACTATACAATATAAATTACAAGACGCTGTTAATTTTTTTTTATTTGTTTATTTAAATATAGAATAATCTGTCACGTGGACAATAATTATAGTGCTATATGGACACATTGACACAATATATACAGAAAATATGAAATTAATAAAAGTAAAATAATAACTAAATAATAATAAAAAAACTACAGGACGCTATTAATAGAATCAATAACTGGTCCCTTTCTGTTGGTCTTCAATTTTCCTCCGCACAAACTAAATTTCTACATTTCAGTCGAAAAAGAAATACTCCTAACTCACCCGAAATCTACCTCGGAAATTCCTTAATCCCGTACTCGAACCAGCATAGATTCCTAGGCATGATTTTTAATCGAAAACTGACTTGGGAACCGAATATTTCAGCACTAAAAACAACAACTACAAAAAGAATAAGTACTTTACGATACCTGAGCGGAACTTCCTGGGGCTCGGTCAGATTCACGTCACTAAGACTGTATGGAGCGTTAGTATGCTCTAAGTTGGTCTATGGGTGCTTTGTAAACGGTTTTGCCCGCTATCGGACCCTGAATAAACTCGATGCAGTCCACCATACAGGCATTAGGATAGCAACTGGCGCTTTTGGAACAAGCCCCATTCTTATTCTCTGTTCTGAGGCCGGAATAATACTCCCTCTTTTATTTAGAAGAAAAAAACCGGCTGTTAACTAGATTTGAAGGTTACTATCCCAAAATAAACATCCCACTCATTTTTCAATTAACTACATTTTTTAAACTGCAATTTTCCAATGCTTTTAGAAACAAAACCAATGCCACACTCTCACTGTCATAAAGAATTTATTCAGCAGTTCAATTCCTTAAGAACTTAGCTATATACTTAACAGAAAATCAAAACCCACCTTTGATCCACAAACCACTTAAAACGATGCTTCGTTTCTCTCGATTACTCAAAAGCTCTACCTCACCTTTCGAGTTTAAAACCGAATTTACCCGTCTCCTACAAAATATCCCAGACCATTTTTAATTTATACTGACGGTTCGAATTTTTTTTTTTTTTTTTTTTTTTATTGAGAGAAAAATACATTTTGCATCAATCAAGAGCATTGAGTATTTGCGATGTGATCAACTCATTCATACAATATATACAATTAAAAAATAATAGAAATTACAACAAAAATAAGAAGAGAAAGCTTAGTAAAACAGATGAAATAAAATATGGTACGACGCAAATTAAAAAAAAAATAAATAAGAAAAAAAAATAACATTCATGCTTATTTACAATATTTACAGTCAGCCGAGGGATCTCCAAGTCGGGCCTTTTCCCCCACGTGTGGAAGACAAGGCAGGACCTTAAGAGATCACAGCCCTTCTCTCTCAGCCCCATCACTGAGATGGGGATCCAGTGGAGATTGAGAAAGAGCACTAAAGCCACATACGCTAATGACTTGAGTGGAGAAGCTGGCTATTGCCAGGACTCCAATGACTTATTTACAAAAGATCTCGAGGCCACTGCTTTTTTAACCTTCGAGGAGGATTATAGGGATGGCTGGAGCTGGATAAGGATTGTGCTAAGGGATTAGGATGATGGATTAGATTTTGATGAAAATTTGAGATACGGGATGGAATAACGTCAAGGACATAAGGGATGTTAAGATCATGATGTAGAGTTGTGTTTGTAACATAATAGAGAGCATTTACTATTGTACGAAGGACTTTAGAATGGAAGGATTGGATGCGTTTGATGTTCGAAAATTTAGTAGTCCCCCACAGTTCAAGTCCGTAGGTCCAGATGGGTTTTAGTATGGTCTTGTATATTTATAGTTTGTTTCCAATTGAGAGGTTAGATTTTCTGTTAAGTAGTCTGTATAATTGGCCAAATCGTCGGTTAAGTTCTTGTCTTTTAAGTCTGGTATGTGGGTTCAATGTTAGTATTTTGTCTAAAAGGAATTCATGATATCGAACTGTGTCTGAAATGGGAAGAGGTACTGAGTCAACTCAGTACAACAACTGAAAAAAGGAGAGGTGGAAAGGATCTGCGTCGGAGGGTAAAGGTAACATGCTTGCAATTGGATTCATTGATTTTGATGCGCCGATTGTTTCACCACTGCTCTATTAGAGAGATGTGTCTTTGTAGGTTTAAGGATGCTGTTTCAGGGTCTGAGTGGGATGATAGGATGGCAGTATCGTCAGAAAATGTTGCTAGGAGGGTATCAGGGTGGGCTGGTAGGTCAGCTGTGAAAGTAATGTACAGAACTGGGCCTAAGACACTGACTTGTGGAACACCATCCTCAACTAGATAATAATTAGAGAATTCGATGCGGCAGCGGATTTGAAATGAACGATTTGAAAGATAGGATTTGAGGATATGGTACAAGGATTGGGGTAAGTGGGTTTTGAGCTTGAAAAGCAAGCCATCATGCCACACCCGGTCGAAAGCTTGCGCTACGTCCAGAAAGGCACTAGTGCAATATTGCTTGTTTTCAAGCGCAGAGGATATATGGTCAACAACGCGAAGGCCTTGTTGAACGGTGGAATGTCTTGAGCGGAATCCAAACTGATGGGAAGGGATATTGTGGGTTTCGAGAATGGGTAGGATACGTTTGAGAAGGATTTTTTCAAAGAATTTTGAGAGAATCGGGAGCAAGCTTATTACTCTATAGGATGAAGTATTGTTAACAGGTTTACCGGGTTTAGAGAAGAGGATGATTATGGAGTGTTTCCACATCAGAGGAAAATGAGTTGTACGGAGTATACAATTGTATAGGTATGTGAGGAATATGATTGCTTTTTTGGGAAGTTGTCTGAGGATCTGGGAAGTAAGGAGATCGTGTCCAGGGGATTTTCGAGGTTTTAGGTTGTTTATAAGGAATTTGACCTCAGAGGGATTGACTGCTTTAGGAGGCAAAGAGAAAGGAATCGGAGAAGCAGTGTGGGTGGGATTGATTCCAGGGTAGGGAGTGAATGTTTTGAATAGGTGTTTGGCAAATACTTCAGCTCTAGTCTCATCTGACGAAGCCCAGGTTCCATCATCGGATCGTAGGGGGTGGGAAATGGAGTGGTATTTAGAGATCGTTTTGGTCAGTTTCCAGAGGGAGTTGTCTTCGGTGGAGAGGGAAGAAAGGTAGGAATTGTAGGATTGGGATCTAAAGGAAGTTATTTCTTTTTTAACCTGCTTGGAATAATAATTGTATAATATAAGGATGCCTGGTTCTTTGCCAGAGGGTTCTAGATCGGCGTTTGGATTTAATGAGGTCAATAAGGGTCTTGGGTAAAGGATCCTTTTTAAGCGTTTCTTTGGAGGAGAGTGGTGAGGATGCAGTCCAGAATGCTTGTTGGATCAAAGTGGTGAAGGAACTCACTGCATTATATAGGTCTTGAGAGGTTTTTAGAGATACCATGAGGTCTATTGCATCTATTATTGTTTAACGGAAAAGGTTCCAGTTGACAAGGCCTCTGATGAATGAAGGAGGGGACAATCTGAGGATAGGAAATGCGGAAAGGGTTAGGTTTAGCGGACTGTGATCTGAGGAAAGGTCATTGAGCCGTAAAACTAAGAAATTTAGCGGCCCTAGACCTTTGTGAATAAAGAAGTCAAGAAGATCGGGATTGCGGTTAGGATCGCTTGTCCAGTATGTAGGAGTATCAGGGGAAAGGATGTTGCTATGGTGGGAATGAAGTGCAGACAGCAATGTTCGGCCACGAGGATTCATGGTTCGAATCTGATGATGATACAGCGTCTTCGTTTGTCACCCATAGCTTGGCACATAAAATTAAACTTCATAAATTAAGCAGCATATATACAGGGGAACTTCATAGCGCCGTTATGTTATGAAGCCATGGAAAGACTATTGAGATTCTTTCTTAAAAACTTATTTAAATTACCATAGTATATTCCAACACATTTTATTCACCTTGATACTAAAATAGATCCGTTATTTATCTTCACAATTAAACTCCATTTTGATTACACTATAAAAATTTTGAATCTTCCACCACATAGATATCCAAAAATATTAGCACTACAGAGAATTAAAAAAGAAATCGCA